TACTAAACAGATTAGGGAATAATCGGCTCATTCGGCGAGCTCATCAATGACTAACCTGGGAAAGAACTTTATAATCTGACCATTGATTTCATTACATTTTGTCCGCTTTATGCGTCATGTTGCTAATTTAAAACCATATAAAGATATTCCACATCTTCCTTAGCTAGGAAGTATTAATATAATATCAGGTTATTACGAGAATATCGAAACATATACACGAAGACAGTACAGCGGGAGTATCGACGGCATACTGTCTGAGTGCATACTTTTCGATAGACTCTCACTGGATATGTAATTTTATCTCTTAAGTATTGGGGTATTTTATTTACAATACCTTCATTAGAATATTTATCACATCTAGAAGTGTAGAGAAATTAGTTGTCAGATCGCACAATGTCTTGTCCGATATCAATGTAGTGCTTTTTCACAGCTTGCATCAATATATATTCACACTTGAATGTTCATCTTGATGTTTAAATTACACATTGCACATTATTTGATATGTCATATTTAAGGTTTTAAGTGTTTTTAACCAATAAAAGCATAATTCATATTGACAAGGGAATGTCAAGACTATTCTAGTAAAGATACCATGTACGTGTATTCTATGGACTAATTGCGCTTTGAAGTCATTTACTAATATATTATCTGTGGATGCAACGCTACCTAACAACGGTCCAACATACATTCAATTACAACATATTTGTTCTTGTGTCGAATTACACTGTTTTAATTACTAGTGTAGCAGAGACGCAAATTATAGCTTGCTTTATAAATTTTAGACTCAAATGGTAGCCGAGTTCTGTCCCTCCACCGATTCAAATGCACACCTGACCTATGTAACCATATTACATGGAATATTAAGTTATTCTATCGTGAACATTCGCGATTACACTCTAGACCATAAATTATATAGTACACTAGGCCTAGGCCTTGTATTTTAGTATATGTATTTTATTGCACAACAAATGATATTTAACATGAAATGGAAAAAAAGGCTACATTAATATTTTATTGTTACTTTCATAGGTCAAGTTGGCGTTCCGGAAAAAGTTTCGACGAGGATATATAGGTTCCACCAGAGAAAGTGCTTGGACTGAAACATCGTCAAAAACAACGAAAGTTGGTGCTTCAACATCTTTCGTTACAACTCAGTCGTCTTGTTGAATTGGAAACAGATAATATAAGTCTCCTTCAACAAAGCATGTATATATTTTGCAAAACGCGATATTCACCATCAAAATAACCGAATTAAGTAACAAATAGTAGTGATTTGTTAAGTAACTGTGAACTTGATAATTCGTACTACGACGGTGCCGAACCGAGTCGAAACAGTGTTGCAGTTATACATATTCTATGGACAAGTTTTGATCATTATAATATTTTGATGTACTTCTTTTTTCTTGGAAATATTTATGTCCGAACTACATATACAACATCCAAAGGTGGGGATAATTGAAGTTTACCCAGTGCACGGCAATAATTAACAAGGTTATATCACTTAAAAACAAACCATGTAAAACATTAGTTATCGTAAATGCTATGTTTATTTCGTCATGGTCTCAAATTACACTTTCATTATTTATATACAACCCCCAAAATTATGCAAAACTCTACAACTTGGAGTAGAAAATTTAACATTATTAAACCATGTATACTATAAATACACGGACAGTAAAACAAAATTAGTGTTGGTATCAATGCCCTATATCAAAATCTCAATGAGATTTATTCCTGTTTTTTAATTATTATAACTACTTTCCATTTTTAAAGTATTTGTTCTAATACACAATAAATGTGTTTCATAGTGATTTATTTCCAATAACATTTTCTATCTTCATTAATCTTAGAATAGATTATTAGAATAAATGAACTGAATAAACTGAATCTTATTCAGTCTTATTTCTTATTAACCTTAAAAAGCACAAAACTAATTATAATTCCAAAACCATTTCAATAATATGTCGTCGTATATACGCACACCTTTTTTTATCAACCATTGTAACATTTGACGAAGAATTCACAGTTATACAACTGTTGAATCTGACAGCTTGTCTATTTTTGCAGTACAGTAGCCTTGAATCTATCTACACCAACCACAATGTTTTAATATAGTTTTGTCGCAAAATATTACGCCATCACATCACAAGGATTGAAAATATTTAAACCTAGCTCAATCCAACTACTCGTGATTCACATCTCCAATGCAATGGTCTGGTCGCTCTAATCTGTTCTGCAATGTACGTTTCTATTTTTGTGACTAATTAGTCGCCATAACATGAAAACGTTCTGTCGGTGGAATAATTAACTCGCTTGTACCTTTGTCTTGGTTTGTTTCTTGGTCGATGTCAAATACAGTTTTTATAGCTTACCACAATCACAATTTATTAAGTCAATTTAAATTCGATGTTATTTCACAATTATGAGCATTATGTGTATTACATTATATTAAATTCATTATTAATTTGAGTACAAGGTTTTGGTTCTAAAAATCACAACAAATAGATACAAGTAATTATTTTGTATAGTTGAAGCAATAGTTTTTTATTTATGTCATTTCTCAATTTCAGTGAATGTTTTTTCTGTATTTGTTGTTGTCATAATTTAAATAAATCTGTAATTAGTTGCAGGTCTGTAATACTAATTTGAGATATATTCTGAATGAATCAAAGAATTTACCAATCATATGTAAATGACATTCATCTTCAATATGTTGCATTGTTGCAAAGAAGACAAAATTTTTCACCGTGTTTCAAACAAAGTATATTGCAAGTTTATTACTGGGAAAATGACTAGATTCGATTCAACGGCTTCCATTGGTTATACAAGAGATGTCACTCCTTGATGCGCGTGGTGTGACGTCACTTCTCTTAACATAAACCACAGTAATGATGTCTTTGTTTAGTGTGGTCAATTGTTATAATAATACTTATTTTCATTGAGCTCCGTTTTACCTGGTATACTTCTTCACTTCCCTGCTGCCAAGATTTAAATGACGGTTATTTAAATTTGTAGTCTGCCCAGGCTCATCTTGTTTAATTCGACCGCCATTTTATTACGTGTAAGGTGAAGGATGTGCGCGGCCAAAAAAACAAAACAACGGTTCTTATTTTTGGACACTCTTTTGTAAGACGATTTAAAACCTTTGTGCATGAGCACCAACAGCAATATAATGTGTTACCAACTTTCAATTTGAGTCAAATGAATGTTTATTTCCATGGTGTTGGCGGACGAACGTTATCGTCACCTGTAACCTTTGACATTGGCGTGGTAAGCCGGGTGTTGCCGGATATTATAGTTTTAGGGTTGTTAGAGTAATTGTACAGTCAAGTAATGCACAGGATGATACCATTTCGTAAGTTTCATAGTTACAATGCTAGAGTAGATATTTTAAATCATGCGTTAAAGTCTGCCTTAGATTAAATTTCATTTGCCATGTTTTGGAAGCCTATTGGCTAATGGAACTCTTCTATAACTATAATGTTACCAGACAGCATTCACTTAAAAAAATGGGTAATTATAGATATTATCGAAGTGTTCGATCGTGGGTCATTCTTGCAGGCATGAGGTAACTCAACAAATGTTTAACTCGTGGTGACTAGGTAATTACTAACTACAGACTGTCGATCATATCTCAGTTACGAGTTTCTCGTTTTGTTTTGAATTTCTGTAGACTGTTAATCCTATCTCTATCTCTATCACATGAGTTTCTGTTTTATTATAAAATTTGCAGACTGTTGATTTTCCTTCTATTACTTCACAATGGAGTTTTTGCATTTAATTTAAATGCTGCAGATTGTTGATCCTAACTAAATTACGGGAGTATGAAGTTTCTGCTTTTATTTATAATAATGTTTCAGACATTTTATCCGACATCTTATTCATGTGAGAAAAGGGATATATGCTTTTAATTGTAATTAAAAAAATCCGTTGTGGAGGGGAGTTTCTGCTTTCCTTAAAATTGCATAGGATCATCTGTTTCTGTGCACCCCTGCACAGATTCATTAGGTATGTTATAAAAAAGACTTCGCCGAATTATACTGACTCGTATTTTTGATAATAAATTAAATGCTGACTGCAGAAACAACATACGTACTCGAACAACATTAGAACACACTACAATTCACTCGTCTTTCATTCGGCAAATCATTCAAGCACAGGTATTTTTTTGGGATACATCAAGGTGCATGGAAGGTAATTGTATTTGTTTTGAGAATATATTTTCTGGAAATATAATTTCAATCAACTAAAGGATCAAAAAATTAGACGTTCGTTATGGGTGAATGCTATGAACATAATATTTTTTTGCAAATAAACTTAGATATGTCTGTATGTTCAGATATGTGTAACTTTTTGTTATGTAGTGGCGATTGCCGTGATCACGTGAGAAAATGCTATGTTTTGTTTGCCAGTAATTCATTCATAAAAGTCATCCACAGTCTGACATGAGTTATCAAATTTGTTTGTGACAAGTTGCGATTTGTTTCTTTATTCGCATCGAGGTCAGAAATCGCACATGAAAAGGGGAGCTTTAGTTCTTTCAGACTCGACGCAAAATTTTTAACCCAGCAGAATGCCGCTAGCCTTAGATATGGGTAGTAAATACTCTATTGTAACTGCTTAGAGGACATTCATGGCAGTCGACACCATACTCTTCCTGATGCTGGAAGGACAAGCTCATCATATATGACTCTATATGCAGTTACTACCCCATGTGCATTCCAAATGTAGCGGGAAACGGGGTGCTTTGCGCATGGGAGGCAAATAGACCCTTTTTTAAATGCTAATGTCTGCATTAGCTCCCCCCAGAAATAAACTTTCTGATATACAAATCAGAATTGAAAGAACGTTTGCCATCCGAAAAAGACAGCGAATATACCAGAATAGGTATTAAGTTAGATATTCCGTTTTATGTTTAGGATATTTTTATATGTTTTAAGATAAACTTAATTTGAGCTAGTTCAATTGAATTTAGCAGTAAAAAAAATAAAAATAAAATGTTAGTTTTTTGTATTGCCACCATTTTATTTATATTCACTACCCTCTACACGATTTATATAATTGATTGTATCATTACAATTATGATGTACAAACTACGATTGAACACAATCAAAACCGTTAACTTAACCCATGTAACCGTTTACTGTATATCTCATTTATCATCATAATCACCAGAAAATGTTGCAGCCAAAGTCAATCTTTTCTTCAAATGGGTATATTTCTAAGCGCATCTATAAAAATAAAATAAAATAAAAAAATCATACATATGCAGTATATTGAAATAATAAATTTGCTTTGAATCGCGCAAAAAAATGTTTAATATATGTCGACCGACGTCCCAAAAAAGTTTAGTTAGAGAGAAGTATTCAGATAACTTACTTTTTTTCGTTTACTTTCCAAGTTTCTCCAAACTCGGTAACGTCTTTCGTGGTACTTCCATCTGGTTTTTTGAAGTCGTTGTGGGTATCACCATCGGCATTACCCATTAGACCACACAGCTTTCCACGGTAAAATGAGCCATAGTAGGATACTTTTAATATATGTTTTCTCAAAGTCCAATCCAGAGTGAATGTCATGTCTTTAGAAGTGAAGTGCAGCATAATTGTTTTATCTTTTTCTTCAATAAATATGGAATTCACAGCAGTCACCTGTCCACCAGTATGTCCCTGTGCAACAAATAATGCGTTAATGGTATTGGGGAATGAATCAATACAGTAGCTCACTATCTCAAAAACAATTGCAATACCACTATAATACAAACAGAAAACATACTTTAATAATGTCACGTCCATCGACAATTGCGTATTGATCTCCAACAGTTACGTTGAAGGCAACAATTCTCGATCTGATTTGGTCTGCTGTGCTATCTTCTCTGGCTTCAAACTTGACAGTGACTTCAAAACGAAAGTCGACGGTACAGTCTTTGAATAGAGTGTACCAGCATGTGCCCTGGAAGGAGTAATCACGACCATCGAATGTCCGCATATGGGGATCCCCGTGTCCACCACAGGCTGTTGAAATAAATAAATAAATGAATAAATAATCTTACTTATTATCGTCGTTTGACGCATCTACACATATCATAAACGAGAAAAACAACTAATAGCACAATATTGCGTTTACAAAACTGCTATCTATGATCAGAGAGGCTCCAAGTAGATATGATTTAATAATTAGAAATATTTAATGAAATAATTATCATATATGTTGACTTGATATTTTGATCATATATATTTAATTTAGATTATTGTCATGTTTATTTAAGATGCTTTGATTGGATGGAAGTTTGAGCCTAACAAGCTGTGATAGAATTGGCTGTTATGTTCAGATTCAAATAAGCATGAACCACTAATTCGACGGGGAAGTGATACTTATAATGCAGCAAGATGTTTTAATTGATGATGTCGTAGAGTTTTTATATTTCTCTGTCAAATGTATTTATTGGTTCACTGACAAATCAAAATAATGTTTCCCTGTAACTTAAACTCTTATTGATCAAGGCATTTTTAAAATCATGGGTGTTAACTCCCATCAAGTTATGACCCGTTGTCCTCCATAAAATAATGGTTGCTTCTAATATTAAAATAAAGATGGCGGAGTATAGCGTTGATTCATCTCGTTCTATTCTGGATTACTTAGAGCCAATAAAGATCCTAGAAAGTTAGTATTTATATGCCTGCGTGTTTTTTTAAACAAATTTTCACCGTCTTTGACTTTCTCAGTATGTTTGTTGCTATTGACAACAATTCAGACCTTTGCAATGCTTCAGTCAATGTTATTCTTCTCTACCTACCCAGCTTCTCAGTGGGGCGCTATGTAGCTGGTGTGGTATATTTATCACAGACAGTAGGGCAATTGACCAATTTAGTGCTCCAAGAAAATATTCTTTGTCGATGTGTATTTATATAAATAGATGTAGTTTATTTGGCTTGTATACTGGTTTACCTGTTTCTAGTTGAAATTTAGCCAAACTTATTAACCAAGATAGTTGGACATTTGCCACATGTCAAAACACAACATATAGTTCTTGAGATATCTTTGGAACAGAAGGACACACACACACACACACACATACAGGTGTCCCATGAATTGTGGAGCCGCCATTGGATTAATTTTTAATATAGTTGAATTAACTTTTAATATAGTTGCGATATGAACTTGATTAAAACGCGTTCCTATATAGGGTTGAGTTTTAATTGGGGTTTAATTAAACTAAATTACAATGCAATACAATGGATAATTGTACTTTAATTAAGTTTAATTAAACTAGAGTTGAATATCCCGTGACTGAACAT